TTATTTCTTCCAAAACATTCATTGAAATAGCTCCTATTGGTTTCTCTCCCTTTCTTCTCATGGGTTAATAATTTTAAAAATGTTTTTACTGTCACCTCACCAAGGTATTGGGAGAGAAACCCATGTGTTTGATTAATCATCATAAAATTGGAACCCTGGCATTGTGGTTGGAACAAGGGATATATCTTTGATTTTAACAAAGGAGAGAAAATTTGGTGCTGTGAAGATGAAAGGATTCACATCCATGGGCTTTAGTTTTATCAGTAAAATATGAGTCCCCAACTGAGAGTGATGATGGAGAAGGTGTGTAGGTATAAGGCTTTTGGAGAGAAAAAAGTCATCTCACTGAATAGGAATTACAGCAATCAGAGAAACATGTTATGGGCTTATTTGTGACCCCCAAATACATATGTTGAAGTCCTAACACCCAGTACCTCAGAATGTTATCATATTTGGAGTTAAGGTCTTTAAAGAGGTGATTAAAATGAGGCTATGAAGGTGGGCCCTAATCTAATATGGCTGGTGTCCTTATATGAAGAGGAAATTTAGACACACAGACTGACATCAGACACATGTAAGCACAGCATGACAAATGTGAAGACACAGCAAGGTAGTCATTTGTAAGCAAAGGAGAGAGGGCTGGAACAGATCCTTCCTATGGCCCTCAGAGAAAACCAACTTGCCAACACCTTGACCTCAGACATCCAGCTTCCAAGTATGAAAAAATAAATGTTCAAGCCACTATGAATTTTCTTCTGGCAACTCTAGCAAACTAATTCACATGGTCAAGTTACTGGGCAGTGTTCAGTTCCAATCTGAGGTTTGTGGTCATTTAAGAGAGTTTTAAACAGAAACTAATAATCCTAATTAAGTGATTTTCTCCAGCAATATTCGGCAGTTCAGTGGGTTCCCAACAAAAGGCAAATGATCCAGTTCACAGGGGACTTTTCAGGGAATATGCTGGAGCGGCAAAGACACTGAAGGTGTATGGATTATCCAAATTAAATCATAAAGTACCCTCCACTTAGGGACCCAAGGCAGAAAATTAGCAGTTATACAAATGGTCACAAACTTCTGTTAAAATTCTCTTAACCTCTTTCCACCTCCACCACCCAAATATCAATATGTAATTGATTATTTTAATAGCTACCAGGTCTTTCTATTCCTAGTCATTTCTTCTTTCAAGCCACTTTTCACACTGCTTCCCCATTATTTAACTAAACACTTTTGATGGCTCCCCATTACTTACAGGATAAAAGCCAAACTACTTAAAGTGTCATACAAGAACCTTCACCTTCCTGTGCCTGCTTACATCTTCAGCCTCATTGTCTATCACTTCTATTCCCCATTCAGATACCCTATATTGCAACTAAACTACTGGCAATTCCATGACTAATCATTAGATTGTTACTTCTACCTTTACTTCCTGCCAGGCAAAGGAAGAATTTGTTCAAAGATCACTTCTTCTGAAGTTTTTCCTGACTCTTCAGGTAAGATTGACAAATGGCCCTTTCCCTGGACTCTCATTATACCTCATACTTATATCCATGAAGCCAATCATCATGTTTATTATTCACATTGTGCATTTTATCCAATGAGATAATAGAGTCCTTGAGCTTAATGATCAATAGCACCAGAATGAGTCATGATAGATCTTCCATAAATATTTGCAAAGTGAACAATTGGATGACACACAGAGCCTTAGGAGCGGTATTACAGATAGAAAGGAGTGACTGTTCCTAATGTACAGGTTGGCATGGATATATTTTATTACAATATAATTATAATCAGCTGTGTGGAAATGAACTCTGTTGATAAAAAAAAAAAGATTAACTTTATGATGACGGTGGAGGTAATAACTGTAGAGTTCAAGGAGAAAATTCAATTGTTTCAATAGTATTGCTTTGACCAAGAACTGATTAAAACTATAATATTTTTTTAAGATTATTTATTTATTTATTTGACAGAGATCACAAGCAGGCAGAGAAAGAGAGAGGGAAGCTCCCCGCTGAGCAGAAAGCCTGATTCGGGGCTCGATCCCAGGACCCTGAGATCATGACCTGAGCCGAAGGCACAGGCTTTAACCCACTGAGCCACCCAAGCGCCCCTAAAGCTACAATCTTTTTATTTCTAGTAGCTAGTGTACTATATTAAAATGAATATGGTCTTTTGAAAAACCTTATCCTGAATTCTACCTTTATCGTTTATTAGCTGTGTGAACATGGGAATGTTGCTGACATTTCTGAGCTTCAGTTTCTAACCTGCATAATGGGGATGTAATACCTCTCTTCTCATGAACTGCCTTCTATTTCTTCAGACTCAAGATTTTAGCATCTTCTTCCTTCTCCAAGATTCAAGTTAACCATTACTTTTTCAAACTCCAAAGTCAAAGAAAGTTTCTGAGTTACATGAATATCAAAGCAATATAATTATGGTTTTAAGCAAATGCCCTGGGCCCACTTCAACTTTCTCCTAAACAGCATCAGCTGTCACCATTTCCAGATGTGAAAATAAAAGGTCACAGGTACTAAATTGCTCACATGAACCAGAGACATTTCTGTAAGCTATAAAAAGCATTCAAAAACTATTTATACACCACCAAGAATATGACATATTAATAAGGGTTCAGCCTGGTTAAACATTCAGCTACCACGTGGCAGGTACTTTTTAGGCGCAATGACTTAAAAAAACCCAGTATGTGCACCAAAGCCTATACATCCCAATGGCAGACATTTAAATATAAATCACCAATCATGTATTAATGAAGATAACAGTCAATGTTGGCAAATGAGATTGGCACACTTTATACATGATCTTGCTGTTCTACAGTCTTTCTGGAAAGCCACTGGCAATATGCATCACGATCTTTATTTTTTTTTAAAGATTTTATTTATTTATTTGACAGAGAGGGAGATCCCAAGTAGGCAGAGAGGCAGGCAGAAAGAGAGGGGGAAGCAGGCTCCCCGCCAAGCAAAGAGCCCATTGCGGGGCTCGATCCCAGGACCCCGAGACCATGAGCCAAGCTGAAGGCAGAGGCTAGTCTAACCCACTGAGCCACCCAGGTGCCCCACATCACGATCTTTAAATGTTAAGAGTTTTTAGCTCTAAATTCTGTTTATGCATGTAAATTCAATATTTCATCTCTGGGTAATGGGGCTGAGTTATTTTTCTTCTATGTTTTGAAAGTGTTCTATTAAATATGTACATAGCAGTTATTATTTCTAGACTACACAGAAACTGAAATTCAAGTCACACTCCTTATTGGGTATGATTTTGGACAAGTTTCTTAAATATGTCCTCACATGTAAAATAGCCCCAGGTGATAGGATTGCTGTATTTGGTAACACCTATGAAGTGCTTGACTATTAATATTCTTTAAAAGGTAATTTGAAACAAACATCTTCAACTGGTGGACTGTAAGGTTTATTAATTACATCCCAGAAAGGTCTTTTTAAATTTTTTTTAAAAATTTCAAATATTTATTTGAGGTAGGGGGAAGGGCAGAGAGAGAGAATCTTAAGAAGCACCTGCCCCCACCCCCTTCCGCCCAGCATGAAGCCCTATGCAGGGCTGGATCTCGCCACCTCAGGGGAAACCACAAGTTAGAGGGGCTTAACGGACTGTGCCACCCAGGTACCTCAGAAGAAGTTTTTATATTTTATTTTTTTAAAGGTTTTATTTGACAGAGAAAAGGAGAGAGCACAAGCAGGGAGCCTGACCCAGGGCTCAAATCCCAGGATGCTGGGATCATGACCTGAGCTGAAGGTAAACGCTTAAGGACTGGGCCACCCAGGCACCTCAAAATGTTTTTAAAATACAACTTCATGTAGCAGTTCCTATGAGTACCTTTTACTTCATTTAAGTATCTTTTAGTAGCGATCCCAGAAGAAAATGCTATTTTTAGGAGTATGTTTAACCAAAAAAACTTTTTTTCCACTTATGTTTAGGCAATTATTCTTCATAAGAAAGGTAAGGCCCCATCAAGTATTTCCTAATTAAACAGAGATTCCAAACCATAGTTCGTAGCTTTTTTTGAAGCTTTCATCCGGAATACATTCTATATCCTCTGTGACTTAGGAAATCTCTTGTATCTTCCCATCAGGGTGACGGAAAAGGAAACACTGTCACAGAGACTGAACTATTAAGTTTTATTAAAGAGTTTGGAGCCCCAGATAGTCTATATGCAGACCACTATACTCATGCTTGCTGTTCAATAAGAGTGGTCCAAAGGATCATTTGTCCCCCTCCTTCAGTTCCAGAATCAGTCCAGAGGTGGCAGCCCTGTGACTGCCTCCGGGTCAGGACCACTTTTTGCTGACATTGAGATGGTCGAGCTGGTCTACCACAAATCTGTGTGGGGGGAACTTGGACATGCTGGCCGCCTTAATGGCCTCGAAGGCCGCCGCCCTGCGCTCCGCGGCGTGGCCGTACTCCTGCTCCGCGGTGAGGTAGGGCATGCTCAGCCAGTAGTGGTTCTCCGCCTCTATCTCCAGGCGACGAATCATGTTCTGCTTCGCCTGGGAAGACACGGTCCGCGGCCGCCGGTGCTTCCCAATCCACTGTCTGCCGGGAATGCGATTGCGGCGGAGGAGGGCGGTCAGGAACATGGTACCTGCTGAGATGGCAGAAGTCGCACAAACACTGACGACGCGTTTGGCCGCGGAAGAAGCAAGGCGAGCGAGCGCAAAACCAGCTCTCTTACCACTCGGCCAACCCCGACAACGCACACCGCACCCCATACAAAGCGGGGATCCCAGCTAGGCGCGACAGGGAGAAGAAAGGGACTCGTGAAAGAACCAAATATGCCAACCAACTCACCGGCTGCAGCCCTCAGGAGACCACGGGTGACGTCCTGTCCTCTGCAGGATAGCGGACGCGACCCCGGAAGTACGCCCGTCCCTCGGCACGGCCTTGCCTCTTCTCGCGAGACCTCAGCTCTCGCGAGAGAGGACTTGAGCGACTCCGCGGATACAGGGACGTTTCCGGCGCAAAGAGATTCAAACTAGTGGCGGGCGCAAGCGGACCGGTGGGATCTCCCAGCGTCTAGTGTACCGCGGAGGAGTCCTTACCCATGGATCTGATCCAAAGCTTCCACGCGAAGCTACGGTCCCTGGCCATCACCCTAGACAGCGAGACGGCTCGGCTGCAGCGAGCACTGGACGGAGAGGAGAGCGGTGAGTGAAGTGGGCGGGCGTCGGGGAGATCGCGGATACTCGACCCACTCGGCCGCCCCACCCAGCCAGGAGTGCGGCATTTGAAAAGGACCTTAACAAGTGAAAACGCACACACTTGCAGAAAGGTTATTGTCTACAATGGTGAGGAGTGCTTCGAAAGAGATACGGAATGGGGGGTGGTACACCTATCAAAATGCTCCATATTAGCAGAGTTCCGAGGTGACAAGTGTCACCTTTTCATTTATTCTTATGCGCCCCTCAAGTATGTTGTGGCTGTTTCCACTTTTATGTACGACTACATTTGCTCTCCTCAAATAATGAAATAGCGCTATTACTGTTTTGCCAAGAGAAACAGCATAGACTAAGAATGTAAATTGACAGATTGAGCTCATAATGCGTACATGATATGCTTTCAAGTCACATATAATGGGTATTTATCAATAAAAATACAATATAATAAAACAAAATGCATTTATTTAGCAGGGTTCTTTAGATGCACAGTGACTTTGTCTCACCCAAATTGTCCACAGTTGCAGGAAATGTCCCTGTTTTTTCATCAAACAGTATTGCCAACACAAACACTAGGACTCAGTACTGCTTTTTTCCTTTCTCCCTCCCTTCCTTCCTCTACACCCAATGTGGGGCTCGAATTCAAGACCCAGAAATTGAGAGTCACATGCTCATGAGACTGAGCCAGACAGGCACCCCTGAATACTGCTCTTTAAAAAAATAAATATAGCAGAATTCTTCACCACTAATCTTTATGCTAGAATTTTTTTAATTGTTTCATTCAGATTTTGAGATTATTTTATAAATGTCATAATTGTTATTTGCCTTAAAACATTGCACCCTGTAGACACAGACTCCTTTTACTTTAGTTATATTATGAAGTGTTCCAGCTATTTAAAAATATTTATTCTATTGACTGTAAAACGATACATGTACATGGCAAAATTTTGAGATATATATGCAAAAGTAGAAAGAGGAAAATAAATATTTCCTATAACTCAACCACTTAAAGACACCACTATTAGTATTTTATTATTTTTTGTTTTCTTTCTCTCTCTCTCTTTTTTTTTTTTTTTTTTTGTTGTTGTTGTTGTTGAGCTCTGTGCCTGATGTGGGGCTTGAACTCATGATCCTGAGATCAAGAGTCACATAGTCAAGGGTCTGAGCCAGCTAGGTGCCTTTTTGGATTCTTGAGATATAGCTGAATTGCTTTCCACAAAGCTTGTGCCAATTTACCCTCTTACCAGCATATTAACTGTGTACAGACATTTTGCATTTTCGTCTGGTTTTATAAGAAAAAGTTAGAATGATTTTTCTATTTGCAGCCAGCATGTATTACAGAAAATATGGAATTGTGATAGAGAAAATGATCACCAAAAAATCTCATCTATTATGATCACAGTGATGAGTCAGCATGGAGTCTGCTAGGGATTCTCTCTCCCTCTGCTCCTTCCCTCTGCGCATGCTCTCTCTTTCTCTAAAATAAATCTTTAAAGAAATAAAGGATACAATTCAATGGTTTTTGATATACTCACAGAGTTGTGCAACCATTATAGTAAGTTTAGATTTTCATCACCCTCAAAAGAAACTCTCTTGCTTATTAATATCCACTCCCCATAGCCCCACCTCCACCTACCACACTAGCTTTATGCAAACACTAATCTATTTTCTGTATGTATAAATTTGCCTATTCTGGATATTTCAGATAAAACAAATCATACAATTTGTGGGCTTTTGTGATTGACTTATTTTAGCATAATGTTGTAAGGTTTATTCATGTCATAAGCATGTATCAGTACCTCGTTTCATTTTATTGCTGAATAATATTCCATTGTATAGCTATACCAGCCCACTGTGTTTATTTATCAGTTCATGAACATTTGGGTTGTTTCCACTTTGTAGCTATTATGAATGTATGTAAACATCTATGAGTGAGTTTTTGGGTGAACATAATGTTTTCAGTTCTCTTTGCTATGTGATTCGAAGTAGAACTGCTGGGTCATATGATAACGCTATGTTTATCTTTTTGAAGAGCTGCCAAATTGTTTTCCAAAGTGGATACATGATTGTACATTTCCACCAGCAATGAATGAAGGTTGCAGTTTCTCCACATCCTCATTTATTATTGTCTTTTTGAATATAGTCATTCTAGTGGGTATGAAGTATCACCATTGTGTTGACTTGCACTTCTGAAATGAAAATTGGTCAGCTTTTAGCAGTGAAGGGACATCTTCAAAGGAGGTGTGTTTTAGAAAGAAAAATATAATTATTTAAAAAACTGCTTTTACATGATGTATATTATACATACTGCAACTGATTAATAAGGTGACAGTACAGTGGGTGAAGGATGTCTTTTCAATAAATGGTGTCAGGCTAGTTGGACACTCATATGGAAAATAAGAATGGATCTTGATCCTTACCTCTTGCTATATTAAAAAAATCAATTAGATTGTATTGAAGTTTGTAGCTACAGGTAGATTGTAGCTCTAAATGCAAAAGGCAAACAATAAAGCACTTAGAAGAAAATGTAAGTGTTGTCATTGGCATAGATTTTAAAACTAGGAACCAAAAGGTTCTCACCATAAAAAAATTGCTAAGTCAGATTACATTTTCTCTTTCTCCCTCCCTTCTTCCCTTCTTTCCTTCTTGATCTGAGTACTGATTATGTAGGGTATGTTTGCTTTCAAAATTTATGAAGCTATATACTTATGATTTTTGTACATTATAATTTCATAAATTTTAAAAGAAAGGCCTTAACTTTTTTTTTTTTTTTTTGGTAATTGACAGATAAATTATGAGTAAATATTGACAAGGATTTTATGATTCTGGGAAACAACACTAAATTATATTTTCTATTTTGCACTTTTTCGTTTCTCTATTCATATTGAAGACTGTGAAGATTATCCAATGAGAATTTTATATGACCTTCATTCAGAAGTCCAGACTCTAAAGGTATAGCTTCTGCAATATTAATGTATCATCTTTGTGTCATAATTTTTAAAATCTAAATAGACTTAGTCAAAAGACAGAAATTATAATGTACTTTTTTCCTTATAAAAGGATGATGTCAGTATTCTTCTTGATCAAGCAAGTTTGGAAAGTCAAGAAAGCATTGGTTTCATAAAGGCAACAAAAGTACTGATGAAAAAAAATTCAGTGGATATCATGAAAATAAGAGAGTTTTTCCAGAAGTATGGATATAATCCACGTGCCAAGAAAGATTCAGGTGTGGACAACTTGAATTTTAAAGTATTTGTTTAGTATTAAAGAAGGAAGCCTGCATGATTAAATATGACTACTCTGGGCTTGGCCATGCTTTCTGGTTCTAGCTCTGCCATTATGACTGTCATGCATGATCATTATTTATTCATCACCGTGGTGGATGCAGTGCTGATTGGTGGTGTAAAACAAAGACAGTCCTTGCTCTCCTTTACAAAGTACTAGGTAAAAGAAGAGTACAAGATATAAATCTACATGATTTTAGGATAGTTGGTTTCTAGACAGCTTTGCCAGTAAATAGCTGAGGGACTAATCTTAAAGCATGCTATTTCCTTTTTCTTCTCAATTTTCTCTTCTGTAGAATGAGAAATTTGGGGATTATAAATTGAAAAGGCCTTTTTAAGTTCTACAGTTTTAATGAAGGTTAGTATAGCATGGTGGTTTAGAATTTCACCCACAATCTGAATGCAAATCTCTATTTCCATCATTTATTAGCTGTATTATCTTTGACCAGTTACTGAGCGTTGTACCTCAGTGTCTCATCTGTAAAGTGGAGATGTTTAATAGTATCTACCTCTGAGGTTGTATAAGGATTGAATGAGATAAAATTTGTTTAGAATAGTACCTGGCGTGTTAATCACCCTGTGTTAAGTACTGTTAGGCCCATACCTATGAATGACTAATTTCAATATGCTTCATTGTCTTTGTTTCTGTGAAGAGAATGATCTTTGTACATAAATAAATCATTAATTAAATTCAGCGAATGTATATTGAGGATATGTATGGAGGGTAAATTGAACAGTCTGCATGGTACAGTGGAAAGAATTCAGTTGACTTAATTGTGAACAAGCTATGGATTAAAGTACTGGCTCCACCAGTTACTACATGTGTGTGACCCTGGATAATTTCTTTGAATTGCTTTTTCCTCACTTGCAAAGTAGGAATGATAATATCTCCCAAGAGGCACTGATATGGTGATGATTTTATTAATCTCATCAGTGATAACCTTGTGATAAATACAAGAATAGGTTTTTGGTAGCTTTTATAACATTTCTCCAAATTAACAGAAAGCACAATGCCTAAACACAAAGTAATCAACAGCTCTTCCAGGGGCCAAAAGTCAAGAAACCAAAGTCTGTAACTTTTTTTTTTTTTTTTTTTTTTTTGGTACGGTACTGAAAGGGTCCGTAGACAAAAGGACGAGACTGATACAAGGCGAAGGTTAAGCAAAGCTTTATTTCGCGCCAAGCATCGAGAATCAAACTGACCGGCTGGCCGTCTCTTGCAAAGAGGCGACCCCTTCCAGTCTCACAGACTAACTTTTATAGAGTAAAGGCCATGTGGTTGAGCCTGGCCACACACAGGTGGCCAACTGAATTACATTCTACCCCATAGTAGTTATTTGAACTAGCCTATCACCCTGGTCAGAATTGGCGCCCAAAAGGCAGGGCCCACATTCTTGGGTGGTTAGGGAGGTGCTTTCCTGATTGGATGTCTCCACCTGGCCGAACATGTCCTTGGTGAGTAGGGAGGTAATACGTGCGCTTTCACTGATTGGACGTTTCCACCTGGCTGGACACGTCCTTGTATCTGGGCTCCGTTATTTTTGCCCAGCCTGACATGTCCTGGTATCTGTGCTCCATTATTGGGGCTATTTGGCCGTATTTCACCAATTCTGTTTCTAAGCGCTTTCCTCTTGGGGGGAAGGGGCAGGTTCAATCTAAGTTTATTGCATAAACAACAAAATGGCTCGCTCTGGCTAAGTAGGCCCTTACAGTACATACTCCATATTTAATACATCCTTGTTTATCATGCATATAAAAATAGTACCCTATCCTAGTTCATTTCCTATTACCAGTCAAAACAAAGAAAATCCTAACTTTAAAGAAAAAAATGTGCTCCTCTTCACTTCCTCCAGTCTGTTGGATCTCTTAGCTGGACCAGGAAACGTATAGCCTAAACTTACCCTTTTTCTATTCCTTTGGAGCTAAAGGATTCTGGGATGGTTCTGTACTAATGTCTGAAAGACCCCATTTTATTTTTATTTTTTATTTTTTTAAAGATTTTATTTATTTATTTGACAGACAGAGATCACAAGTAGGCAGAGAGGCAGGCAGAGAGGGAGGGAGGAAGCAGGCTCCCTGCTGAGCAGAGAGCCTGATGCAGGGCTTGATCCCAGGACCCTGAGATCATGACCTGAGCCAAATGCAGAGGCTTTAACCCACTGAGCCACCCAGGTGCCCCTGAAAGACCCCATTTTAACTACAGACATTCCTTTAAAAGATGAAGTGAAGAAAAACAAAAAAGGTCACTATCAGATTTGCAAAAATATGTTCCAATTCATAAGAAAAGTACAAATACTTTATTCTTTTTTTTTTTTTAATATTTATTTATTTATTTATTTGACAGACAGAGATCACAAGTAGGCAGAGAGGCAGGCGGAGAGAGAGAGAAGCAGGCTCCCTGCTGAGCAGAGAGCCCGATGCGGGGTTTGATCCCAGGACCCTGAGACTTTGACCTGAGCCGAAGGCAGAGGCTTTAACCCACTGAGCCATCCAGGCGCCCCCAAATACTTTATTCTTAAAAAGAATGCAACAGGGGTGCCTGGGTAGCTCAGTTGGTTGAGCGGCTGCCTTTGGTTCAGATCATGATCCCAGGGTCCTGGAAACGAGCCCCGTATTGGTCTCCCTGCTCCAAGGGAAGCCTGCTTCTCCCTCTCCCTGCTGCTCTGCCTACTTGTGCTGTCTATCTTTCTGTCAAATAAATAAATAAAATCTTTAAAAAATGCAACAAATTATGGAGAAACTTTTTCCCATGTCTTTCAATTTGTGCAGTTGTTACAATTCATATTTCCAATTTGGCAACCAAATGTTATCTATTCAAGGTCATCTAAAACAGATCTTTGTATGAACTCCCTCCCTCCTTATTCTTAAACAAATGGTAGTGTTTGGAATCAAAAGATGTGGGTTCAAGTCTTGCTCTTTAAATTTTAATCAGCTGAGTGTTTTCCAGAACGTTGTTTGATACCTTTACCTATAAAAGCAAGGAAAAAGATCCCAAGATATTTCATGCTTGAAACAATTAATACAAAAATTAAATGGAGGGGTGCCTGGGTGGCTCAGTGGGTTAAAGCCTCTGCCTTTGGCTCAGGTCATGATCCCAGGGTCCTGGGATCAAGCCCCACATCGGACTCTCTGCTCAGCAGGGAGCCTGCTTCCCCTCCTCTCTCTCTGCCTGCCTCTCTGCCTACTTGTGATCTCTGTCAAGTAAATAAATAAAATCTTAAAAAAAAAACTATTAATGTATGCAAGGAATGGCAAAGGACTGTGGGGAAAAGCGTAGTTGTTATTCAGTTATTTAGTCTGAAATGCTCAGTGTAGTGGTTAGGCATATGGGGTCTGGAGCCAGATATAACCTACTCAGGGTTGAGAAACTATATGTCTTTCTAATGCTCTCCTGTCATTTTCTTCAACCAGACTTTTGTTACATGTGTTCCAGACTGAGGATAAAAATTTATCTTGGTGTAATAGTCTTTCCTTTTTAAGTTAGGCATTTATAAATGAAAAATCTAAAATAATACTATACTTCATGTTAAATCTAGATCATGATTAATTCCACCCTGTGCTTAATGTCATGAAATGGTAAAATGATTCTACAATCTATTAAGAGAGATGGGTAAATCAAAGTAACTGAGAAAGTAAGGATATTGGACTTTTATTTGCATTGATTTTTTCATCTTTTAACATTTTAGTTTACTTCTTAAATGTCCTCAAAATGGGATATGGCTACACAAGAGGTACATGTCAGAAATTTCCTAAAGGGACAATTGAAATAAAACTCTAGAGACTAAGGAGGGAATCAGGACCTTTGCTGATTTGGGACATTTCAAATGGAGCTGTTGTATATGGTTTTAGTTCATGGAATTTTGTGGTTTGATGTTTGACCAAAATATGACCTCCTTGGTTCTTCCTCACAGTGGATGAACAAGAAATCCTTGACTCTGAATCAGAGTCCACTAAGCATGAAAATTTTCAAATGCCTGATGTGAAGGACAGTCTATCTGATCCTGCTATTCCGAGGACTTCTGGTTCTGAGAAGTCTCCACGGAGTCCACAACTTTCCGATTTTGGACTTGAACGGTACATGATATCCCAAGTTCCACCAAACCCTCCACGGGCAGTAAATGACCATGAGGAAGAGCCAAAAAATTTAACTCCATCTTCTAAACAGTCACTAGTTAAAGTACTAAAAACTCCAAAATGTGCTCTGAAGATGGATGATTTTGAGTGTGTAACTCCTAAATTAGAACACTTCGGTATCTCTGACTATACTGCCTGTTTAAATGAAGATTACACAATGGGACTTAAAAATATGAAGGAGAATAAAAGGTAAGCCACTTTCATAAAAGGCACATTTTATCTAACTTTCTAAATCTTTTGTATGATTGATTTTTCCTAGAAGAGATAAGACATTTCAGACAGTAACTTTCCTTCAAATGCTTCTCAGAAACTTTACATTTCAAACTTCCCTGAATCACCCAATTCCATGAGTAAAGTGTGAGCTCTTGGATTTCCAGTTAGATGCTGTAGGAGTATTGATAGGGTTTGGCATTTGGAAGGATAGAGAAGAGGTAGAGTCAGTAAGAACCTGTGAATGATTTTGCATGGAGATGTGGGGAAAGACTTGGGGATCCAGGATAAATCACAGACTTCGGTTTTGTTACCTGTGATGATGCTTGGGAAAACAAGACAGGAAAACCTGCAGCCTCGGTTAAAGGTGGATGTGTTTCCATGTTGATTTAGAGGTCCCGGTAGAGGTGTTCTTGAGTGTAGGTATTTTAATATGAATTGGAAACTCAGTGACCCATTTTTGTGGAGTGAATAGTATGGAAGTGGTACTTAAAGAGTTACAATGAAAATGAAAATGCCCCATATTAAAGCAGCCAAGCAAGAGCTAAAGATAAATCCGTATTGTTAAGAACTGTAATTATTAAAGAAGTCAAATAAACATTCAACCTAAGGAGTCAAGTAAAAACCTCAAAAACCTTTGTTGTGGGACAAAGAGAAGGGAGTAAACACCAAAGATAAAATGTGATTATAAAAGATTTTTAGAAGAGTAGTGTTGATAAATCGAAGAACTGGTTCATACTTAAACGTAAATGCAAATAGCAGAATTAGGAAGGAAGGGCTATATTTATTATTTTTTAATCTATTAAAACTACTATAGGGGTTAGTATTGGGAAGTATGGAAAATTCAGATAATTGAAAATTTTTTGAAATAATACACAGTTATCAAAATCAGCTTGAAATAGAAAACCTGTACAGACCAAAAGAGAAGAAAACCAAAAAAGCTATCAAAGAACTAAATCCAAAAAGCTCTGAGCACAGATGGTTTTCTGGATGAATCCTTTCATAATTTCATAGAATATATACATTTCATCTTACATAAAAATTTATTTTCCTGAGGAGGGGATACACATTGTATTGGGGGTCTCAGCATCTCACCTGGACTCTTCAGATTCATAAAACCTCCGTTTTCTATTTCCTCACTAGTAAAATGTATATAACCATACCCATTGCTGCTTACCACATTGAGTCAGTGGAATAGAGTGGATAACAAAGTTATAAATTGCCTTAAGAATGAGATGCTATAAAAATAATTACCTTTAAGAGGAATGCATTATCAGGGGTCTACAAACTACTGCAGGCCAAATCCAGCCTGCTGCCCATTTTTTGGTAAATAAAGTTTTATTGGAGCATAGACTAAAAAAAAATTCTTTTTCTAAAAGTAGAATAAGACAGAAAAATGCTGCAGTTTAGTTTATGAGGTTGACATACCCTTGATACTAACCCTGACAAAGCACACAAAAGGAAAGTATAGCCAATCTAATTTAGAATATGGATGTAAAATCCCAATTAAAATACTCACAAATTGATTTTAGCAGAATATTAAAGGTGTAGTGAACAACTTTCAAGTTAAGCTTATCCTAGGAATGCAAAGATAGTTTAATACTTGGAAACTCATAAAATACATTATTTTAATGACTTTATAAGAGAAAGGATAATCCCAATAGATACCAATAAGGCATTTGAGAAAATCTGACACTCATTCCTCATTTAAAATGCTTGGTCAAACTCAAAATAGAATACTTCATTAACATGATAAACTATGGGTATCTCAATAATGAAGCTATCTGTCACCATCATTTAATGTCATTCTTGATATCTGGCCAGTAAGAAGTATGTTTAGGCCATGTTTTGTACCTGGGCTACTCAAGAAACTCATCTAAAATTTCAAGAAAGAGACTGATATATTTTATACAGTTATAACTATGTAAAATAATGTGCTTTCCTTTATTTTATTAGAACATAATTTTGGGGGCACCTGGGTGACACAGTCTGTTAAGCGTCTGCCCTCAGCTCAGGTCATGATTCCGGAGTCCCTGGATTGAGCCCCACATCAGGATCCCTGCTTAGTGGGGAGTGTGTTTCTCCCTCTCCCTCTGCTTCTCCCTGGGTCTTGCTCTCTCTCTCAAATAAATAAATAAAATCTTAAAAAAAAAATAATAATTTCTAAACAAAGTGGAAAAAAACAAAATAAAATACCAACATCAGTGATAGGTAAAAAGGTCTATGTGATTAAAAACCGTAAGACATTTCTGAATTATGTAAAGGGGGAATTAGGGAATGTAGTGTTTTTCTTCATCTGAAGATGGACTGAATATTGCTAAGATGTTTAATCACAACAAATTAACTTACTGATGTCATGCATTTACAACAAAGCCTCATTAGGATTTTTTAAGGAGAAAGGGATATTTGATAAAATGATTCTAAAATTTATTTGGAAGAATAGGGGCACCTGCGTGGCTCAGTTGTTAAGCAACTGCCTTCAGCTCAGGTCATGATCCCAGGGTCCTGGGATCGAGCCCTGCATTGGGCTCCCTACCTGGCGGGAGGCCTGCTTCTCCCTCTCCCACTCCTCCTGCTTGTGTTCCCTCTCTCACTCTCTCTAGCTCTGTCAAATAAATAAAATCTTTTTAAAAAAATTATTTGGAAGAATAGAAAGTAGGAGTAGCTTAAAAAAGTAATGAAAAATAATAATGAGGGAATTTGACCTAATATGAAAATATATAAAGCTATAATAAGTAAAACAGTATAAAACTGTTTTAGAATAGATATGTAACTAGAATAGAATAGCCCAGAAACCAACTCTAAATTTATATAATTTATATAAGAAGGTGTTTTTGAATAAGAATGTTCAGTAAATTATGCTAGGACAGGGATGCCTGGGTGGCTCAGTTAATTGTCTACCTTTGGCTGGTGGGGGGGTGTCGAGCCCTGCATTGGGCTCCTTGCTCAGTGGGGAGCCTTACTTTTCCCTCTGACTGCCGCTTCCCAGCTTATTCTCTCTTCCTCTCTCTCTCTCTCTCTCTCTCTCTCTTTCTCTCTGTGACAAATAAAATCTTTTTTAAAAAAATTATGCTAGGACAATTGGTTAATTGAACCAGCTTGTAATACTTGATGACACTCCTCTTTATATTTCAGACATCTGGGTAATTGACTGGAATACCCTTAGTAACTAGATGACAGGATCAGTCTTTTTAGTCCAAAAAAATGAAAAGTTCTTAATCTATGTCTGGTTATGATTGCGAAATTCCACTTCATGGTTTTGAAACCATGAGCTATATAATTCCTATATTTGAACTAATGAGTTAAACTTATGGCTTGCCCTTAAGTTAGAGTTTCTTTTCTTTCTTTTTTTTTTTTTTTTTTTTTTTAGATTTTGTTTATTTATTTGACAGAGAGCACAAGTAGGCAGAGGAGAAAGGCACCTCACCGAGCAGGGAGTCTGATGCGGGACTCGATCATGACCTGGGATTATGACTTGAGCCCCTTAACCGACTGAGCCACCCAGGCATCCCAGGTCAGAGTTTCTTAACCTGCTTCTAAGTCATACCTGTCAATACAAAATGGTGTATAACCTTTTTTGACCCGTGGGTATACATTAATTTAAAAAAAAAAAAAAAAAGATTAGGTCCATGGGACTTCTGTTCCGTAAAACAGAACTGAATGTTTGTCCAGACTTGATGATATATAGTAAGATTGATTTTTTTTTTAATAAAGATTTTTATTTATTTATTTGACAGACAGATCACAAGTAAGCAGAGACGCAGGCAGAGAGAGGAAGGGAAGCAGGCTCCCCGATGAGCAGAGAGCCGGATGTGGGACTTGATCCCAGGCCCTTGGGATCATGACCTGAGCCGAAGGCAGAGGCTTTAACCCACTGAGCCACCCAGGCACCCCAGTAAGATTGATTTTTTTCCCCAGAGGTTCAATATTAACTTTTTTTAAACTTATAATTTCCCTATGATTCACACCAGGGAAGAGGCCACAGAACCAGAACCAATGACCAGTGATAATTTCTTTGTCACTCCTGGCCTCCAGCAGTTGAAAAAAAATGGTAAGTATAACAATCACATTACTTCTCAGCTATCCTCTTTCTAGATTATCTTTGTACAGAAATGGTTCTGTATCTGCAACTTTTCAGTTCATAACATTGAATTATATAAAGTATCATCCCATCAGGTGCAACATGATTTCATACTGTAGAAAGATATAATTCTCTGGTATGTTTTTCATATTTTTCCTGATTATAGTTAGTATCTCGGCTTGTTGTTTTTAACAAGTTTACTAAAAACATATATATATATATATATATTCAGTTACCAAACTTTTGATACAGAGCCAATAGTACCTTTTTTAAAAAGATTTATTTATTTATTTTAGAGGGGAGGGGCAATGGGAGAGGGAGAGAAATTTAAGTAACTCCACGCAGAGTTCAGAGCTGGTTTCGGGGCTTGATCTCACAACCCTGAGATCACAACCCAGTTATTACGACCTGAGCCAAAACCAAGAGTCGGATGCTTAAGCAACTGCGCCATCCAGCTGCCCTCAGTAGTACCTTTTTAAAACTTAGCGTCAGCCTAATGATTAGAATTCTACATTATTTTTCTTATATAAACCACACTCAGAATACATTAGCTACCATTTCAAATTGTTTTTTTAAAATACTACAAGATCTGAAAGAAAATTTTCATGTAGTGTTTTCATATTTGTCCCACGAAACATGAAAACATTAGTTTTCACAAAAATGTAAAAAATTCTAGAGTTTGTGATTTTTTAAATTTACAATTGTCTATATAAATTTATTGGCATATTTTTTTGAAATAACTTGTTTTCATCAGGTCTTTCCAAATTTATAAACATATTTTCAGAAAAATTCTTTTCGTACTAATTTCACTGACATGTTATTAAATTAAGTTAAATGTTATTAAATTATTAAATATGAAATGTGTTGTTACATATGTTATTAAATTATCAGGTACTTCTGGCATACACAGAAGTGAAAAAATACAAATGACTTCTAGTAAACTTAGACCTCAGCTTGTTGGAAAGAGCCTGCCTGTACCAAAGAGAGGGAGAGAGTGGACCACCACCTCCTACAGACCCAGAATTAATTCCCAGTGGAAGCAAACTTTTAAAAAATGATGAAGGAGGGGAATATCTGTGTAACTTCTGAAGTGGGATGGATTTTTAAAGAATAGCTTCCTGACTGAAAGTCTTCAATAACCACAGGCAGTGTATTTTGTGAAAGGAATGGCAAGCTCAGGTTTATCCACTAGTACTTTGGTTAAGTGGAGGCTTGTTAAGAGAGTTTTTGTTGTATTTTAGCTTGACCCTGTTCTTAGGCCACAAAAGTACCATTATTACAGTCCATACCTGGGAAGGTTTAGTAACTTGTTTACCATTTTCTTTACTTACTCTTGCTTCTTATATCCCACTCATTCCTTCGGGGTTTAGTTTTTTTCTTGTTAAAGCACATCCATCAGCACTTCTTTCAGAGATGTTATTTCTAGTCTGCGAGAAGTCATCTCTGGTTTTGTGTCTGAAGACTTTTTTTTATTTTTCTTTCTCATTCATTTTTTAACAATAATTTAACTGGTTATAGACAATAGGTTGACAGCTGACTTTCTTCAATATTTTATAAAGAAATTATTTCATTGTCATCTGGTGTCCATTGCTGATAAGCAGAATGCTGTGGGTCTGATTCGCTTTTGTTTGTAGATTGTTGGTCTTTTCTTCCTGGTAGTAAGATTTTTGTCAATATCTTTGACATTCTACATTTCTCTATAATTTTAAAATACCCTTTTTAAAAAAATCTTTTATGCTTAGAATTTGGTATGATTTTCGAACTAAGGACCCACGTCATTAATTTTTTAAAATACTCTGAGATTATCTCTTTAACAAAATTACCTCTCTCCTAATTCAATTTTTTTCTCCTGGGGTTCCTGTACACTGTATTTTAGAATGTTATTCTTCAGTCTCCTTGGTTAACTTCCCTTTGATATTTTCCTTCCTTTTGTCTCTGCTACCTTGTGCTTTAGTTAAAACTTTCTTCCATTTTGCTATTTTTCTCTTACCCTGAGTCTAAATTACTATTTTAATCTATTAAATTTTTACTCCGGTGATGTTTTCTGTTTTATACATTTTTCTTTCAAATGTGACTGTTCTTTTTCCGTTCCATATTACTGTTCTCTTGCCTCGTAATTTCTGTGCCTTCCTTTATCTCTTTGAATATTTTAAATATATGTATCTGGAAGACTGTTTATTTATTTATTTATTTTTTTTTTTAAAGATTTTATTTATTTATTTGACAGAGGGAGATCACAAGTAGACAGAGAGGCAGGCAGAGAGAGAGATGGGGGGGGGAAGCAGGTTCCCTGCTGAGCAGAGAGCCCGATGCGGGACTCGATCCCAGGACCCCGAGATCATGACCTGAGCCGAAGGCAGCGGCTTAACCCACTGAGCCACCCAGGCGCCCCCGGAAGACTGTTTATTTAAAGTGTTGATACTTCTCTTTATTTTGCTCTGTTCTTTCCTGGAGGTGCCTTTCCTCACAAGCCTTTAACTGTGAACTCCTCTTCTGGTGACACTGTTTTCAGTGAAGTTCTGGGAGTCACAGGTTGTCCTGTGGAGCTGTTTCATGCTCACCCCACCCCATGGTTTACCAGTTGCACACAGGTTTTTAGGTGAACTGCTGGACTCAGGATGCCTGCACTGGACTCCTAGGGTGAACCTAGAACCCCACAATGCTGCACTGGGTAGAGTTGATATTCTGATTTTCAGTCTTTTCTGAAGACTTAACCCTTAGCGTGGCTGACTTCATCCTGTCCGCTGGAGCTGGCGCCGGTGGACAGGTATTTTCCAGTCTCTGTTTCACATACCTCACTGCTCTTCCCGGCTCTTGGCTTGATACACCATGCTCTGTTTCAGTGCCTCCTGCGTTGGAGCCTGTGCCCTTAACTTCTGTCTGTGCTGGTCTTAGAATCCCAGGTGTTTGGGTGTGTACTTGGAAATTTCGGATTAGGTAGATGTTAGCATCTTACTGAATTTGCTCCAGATCTTCATCTTCATGTTATACCTAAAGCTAAATCCTCACTCTGTTATTCTCCTTCCCTTCCTACCCTAAATTGATGATTATTCTAGAGTTGTGTTGTTTGAAAATTTCATTTAAGTTGCAACATCCAATTTGTGTTCTTCTGCCAATTGATTTTTTCACTCAATTCGTGTAAATCCAGTTCATCCATTTTAATTGTTGAGTGTTGTATGAATAAGCCATATTTTATTTATTTACTTGCTTATTAAGGAGTAGTTGTTTTTTACTATTACAGGCAGTGCTCTGACAAAATTGTGCTCTGATGAAATTGTTCTTTGTACACGTGTGTTACTCATGTTAGGAGTGGAGCCTCTAAATCACATGGGATGCACATCATCCCCTATTCTAGAAAATGCTTACTTGCCACTCGAGAGTGGCTGTCCTGATTCTCACCAGCAGTGTTTACATTTCTGTTTCTCCATCTTTTCCAGCACTTGATGATTTTTAGACTTCATAAATTTTTGCCAGTCTTGTTATTTTTCTAACATATACTTTTTCTTTTTGATTTTTTTTTAAAGGTTTATTCATTTATTTGAGAGAGAGAGAGAGAGACTGCGTGTGTGTGCAGGGGGAGGGGCAAAGGGAGAGAATATTCAAGTAGATTCTCCACTGAGTGCAGAGTCCTATATGGGCTTGATCTCACAACCCATGGATCATGACTTGAGCCAAACCAAGGGTTAACCAACTGAGCCACTCAGGTGCCCCTCATTGGTTTTTTTCCTCTTTTTAAGATTTCTTTCATGATACTATGTATGGTAGAGGTATTAAATGTCTCTATACCCATGATTCTGTTCCTGGGATCTCTTTCTAAAAGTTCTGATAGTCAATTACTGCTTCAATTACTGCTTTAGAAAAACCCCATTGAAGTCTTAGAAGGCAGATCTCCTTGCCCTCTTTCTCCTCCTTTTTCTTCTTCAGAAATTTTATTTTCTCCATAAAGATCATAGATTTTAATAGAGTCACATGTAGGTGTCATGCCTTCTTTGTTGTTAAAAAAACATCTTTTTTAAGATTTTATTTATTTATTTGAGAGAAAGAGGGAGAGTGAGAGCGAGCCCACAAGCAGTGGGAGAGAGAGAAGCAAGCTCTCCACTGAGCAGGGACCCCAATGCAGAGCTTGATGCCAGGACCCTGGGATCATGACCTGACCTGAAGGCAGACATTTAACTGACTGAGCCACCCAGATGGTAGCTTTTCTCAAATTATATTTTTAATTGTTTGTTGCTCTTTTGCTAGAACTATTCATTTTTATGTATTGCTCTTATATCTTACAGCCTTGCTGAGGTTTTATTAGTGCCGATGATAACTAGATAAGCAAATATGAAGTTTTATTTCTTCCTGTCTAATCAAGCTCACACTATAGCTATTTCTTAAGTTATTAAGAATAAAGTACACAAATTATCTTGACTACATTTATAACCTTTATTTTCAAATATATCTTTTCATGCCATTGTTTGTGTCTTTTAGATGCTGACTGTGCAGATTCTCCCTTAGCACCTACATTCTGCACTCCTGGTTTGAAAATTCCTCCTACAAAGAACAATACAGCTTTGGTACGGTTCCGTAACATTGAAAGCTCTAATCTATTTCCTGATAACTCCTATACACTACTGTTTCTAGACTGCAACAGTCTGTTTTAAAAACTTAGATTATTGTATGTTAACTATACTTCACTTTAAAAAAAAAAAAACACAGATTAATGCAGGCTTTACGAGTATTTTTACTTATTTCTGGAAGGGAGTTTATTTATTTATTTATTTAAAAGATTTTATTTATTTGACATAGAGAGACACAGTGAGAGAGGGAACACAAGCAGGGGGAGTGGGTGAGGGAGAAGCAGGCTTCCTGCTGAGCAGGGAGCCTGATGCAGGGCTCGATCCCAGGACCCTGGGATCATGACCTGAGCCAAAGGCAAACACTTAATGACTGAGCCACCCAAGCACCCTGTCTGGAGGGGAATTTAGCAGTGTATAGCAAAAGCTTTAAAATTTTCTCATACACTCTAACCGTATCTCAGAATTTATTCTAAGGCACATTGGCACAAAGAATTATAATAATAAAGTTATAGAAGAAAGAACAGCATTATTTATAAGAGCAAAGAATGGGAAAAATCTGGATGTCAAGTGGTAATGGAGAAGCGAAATACACTATATGTTTTAAAGAACAGATAAGAACATATAAAGAATGTTTTCAAGAAATATTTAATGATGGAAAATGACATGCATACATATGGATATACAAACACACACAATATACTTTATTTCAAGGAAAAAGAATAAAAGAATGAAAACTATCAAAATGTGATTATTTACAGGTTATAGATTTACAGGTGATTTTTTTTAGGCTTTTTCCAAATATTTCTCAATGAACAAACTTACTTTAAGCATATCTCAACCCTTTTTTAAAGTCGCTGTGAATACTTAAAAAACAACCAGTGCAGAAGACTACATGTCCAGAAAACTGCAGTGCAGTCCATAAAATGTGACCATATATCCTTGGAGCTAAGTTTTTATTTTTAAAAATTTGATGAATTTAAAATTAAATAGCCCCATGTGGCTTGTTGCTACTGTATTGGACAGTGTTGCTCTAGACCAACCAAATGCGATTCATATCAGTCTAAGTACCTCTCGGGTTATTGCCTGCTAGTACTTGCCTTTTACAGTTAATCCACTCCTTGTGTTCCAGTGTGGAAGGCACTGTACTGATGTGACACTCCCTCTTTATTAACTCTGACCCTAGGGAGATGAGGGGGATCTACTGGATTGGTGAGTTTAGTGTGAACTTCATGCTAAGCTACGTCAGATGGGCTTTCTTAGTCTTGAGTGAGGGTTTGTGGAACACTTGTGCTCATCTGTGCTGTTACTCTCACCTGGCCCAGCTTAGTGTTGCCCGAAACTGGTGGGTGAATCGATCTAAATCTAGTTCAGTCAAGCCTGTTTAGTTTTCATATTAAGCTGTAACTCAGCCGTTATTAGTAACAAAGGATGGTATTTTGTCCTCCCTATGCCATTTCTTTGTTTTCTCAATTTTCTTTAGTTGAGGAAGAACAGGTCATTTTTGTGCTTACTTCTTCTATGTCACTTTCGTGCAACAGAACTAAAACTGACTCAATTTTTGTTCACTGTATTTTATACCATCATAATTTAATGATTTATTTTTGTTCAATAGGGGTGCACAGATTATCCATTACCAAAAACAAATAGTTCATCAAATGATTTGGAAATGAAAGACTGTACATCATTAGTTTTAAATTCAGACAAGTGTTTTGAGAGTTTTGCGGATCCCTCTTCTCCTGTAATTTCTTCTTATGAGAATCTCCTGAGAACACCTACACCTCCAGAAGTAACTACCATTCCAGAAGATATTCTCCAGGTTGTTTTTCCATGCTATTTCTTTCTCTGACACATTCTTTTCAAAATTAGATATTTAAAGACCTGAAACTGTATATAAACTGTCTTATTTCTCAGTGGGCTAATGTGCTGTTTTGTGTACTGAGAAAATCCAAATTCTGTGCCCTTCTGAGAGCACCTGGCTGAAGCTCTTCTGAGCTGTACAAGCTCATGACTTCATCATACTTTTATGTCCTCACACTGTATTTTCTGTCTAACTTCATGTTCTGAAATGTATTCTTACAATATTTTGTAATAATTGTTCAACCGCAGTTGCCATGCTGGCCATTGTTTCCATTGGAGGTATGGCTGGCAAAAATCAGAAATGTCGTTTACCCTCCCGTTCTCCAGGGTAGGGTATCCTGAACACTTAGATCAGCGTTTCTTGAACCCAAGACATCTTGGACCTCAGTTTGAGAAACACTGATTTAAATGTTAGGATATCTGATTCTTTAGTATATCATCATTTACCTCTAGTCTACTCCTGGTCTGTATACCAACTGCCAGCTCTGCTAAATAACCACCAGTCATTACCCCCCCTTAATGGAAGTACAGTGCTTGGTGGAATGGCTTAGGCAAGTGAAATTGTTAAGAACCATTCTAGCAACTGACCTAGTTTGGGAGAGCTGTGAGAAGGATGAAAAAGTACTTGGAAGAATACCTAAATGCCATTAGAGCAGACTCATCCTGTGACAATCAACAAAGTATTTGTTACCCTTTTTTCTTTGTCTTCTGTTTTCCTGGGCATTATAAGAAGTAGGTTGGGCATCTTCTGTCTTTAAGGAGTTTTCTTGAGTTTCCACTTTACTGTGGTTGATCCTTCTCTTTTTATTTCTACATGGAAGAGGGGGAACCTTGTATTTAATGAAAAATATCATAGGTGATATTTCAGACTCTTTATAATCTTTAAGAGCTGATGATCTTTTGAGCATGTCTCTTGCCTTTTTCCTATATACATTTTCCCTAACAACTTTGTAGAGGCTTAATTTGCTCTGAGAGATGATTTGCTGCTTACTCCTATTAATCTTAGAGTACATTATAAAAGGCTTTAGAAATCAAGCCTCCAAATTCAGTTTCTCATAACTCCATCTTTTCTTTGCTGTTTAACATCTGTCTGTGCTGCTAAAAATTATGTTTCAAAAACCCGTATCTTTCAATTTTCCTTGGCTTTCCTTGAATGTTTTAAAAGAGCTTCCAAATTTGTTGTGTTGTTTTAATGACTTGCTAAAAAGGAGTATGTTTTGTTTCAGATTTTATCAAAATACAACTCAAACCTAGCAACTCCAGTAGCAGTGAAAGCCGTGCCACCCAGCAAAGGGCTCCCCACTAAACACGAAGGACCAAACATCCGAGGTGTTGGCAACAAAGAAAACTGGTGAAGGTATGTTACTGTTCTAAAGAAATTACCCGTGTTATTTGAGAACATTTAAAAATTAACATTCATATGGGGGAGTACTAAAAAAGTTTTATTTGCCATTTCGCAGCTTAGGTTAACAGCCTTCTCTCTTTTGATACAGAGCTTGTTAACCCTGGAATTCAGACTTCATGAGCAGTTGGATGACATCATTGGGAATGTATACCCAGTTATTTTATTATTGTTAAAGTATATAGCCGCAATATTCTATCATTTGTTTTATTGGTGTCTATTAATTATGCTTGATTTTTTTAAAAAATTGCATCTTTTTGCAGAAGTTCTAATGGATCCCACCCACTATAGAAACTGAACAGAAAGTTGAAAGCAGATCGGGACTTTGTTATTCACATTGCCCTACATTTCCCCCCTTCTTAAAAACCAACCCATATTGAAGATGATCATGGACACTGGTGTGATAACATGGTTTGTTTTGTTTTTGTTTTTTAAGTAGGCTCCATGCCCGGTGTGGGGCTTGAACTCACAACCCTGAGAACTCACAACCCTGAGAACAAGAGCAGCATACTCTACTGCCTGAGCCAGTCAGGCGCCCCTGTCATAATGTTTTTTATTGAGATCTGTTTTAGTTTAACCTTGGTCTTAATCAGTTACTCACTTTTCAAAGATCATTAGTATTTCACTGATTTCACATTTACTCTGCCTAATCTGACAGAATGGCTGAGTAGTATCAGGAAGCAGGGCAAATAATTTAAAATTTTAAAATGTTTGTTACTTGAGCAGGGCCACCCTGATCTCATGGTGAGGTGGTGTTGCTGTTGGCTGGAGCTGGGCTTCTTCCCTGATTCTGGCTCTGCCCTTGTCCTGTCTCCTCTCTCAACTGCCCCCAGAGCCTTTCACACCATTTATTTCAGCAGTGCTTTTAAGACTCTCTTGTCTACAAACGACAGCTCAAATAACTTGAAAAGTGTATAGCAGGTCTCAGAGAGTTGGAAACAGACTCACCCATCAGGATGTGTGGTTTTTTTGTTTTTACTCCCAGCTATTTACTTCATGTCAGTTTTACCTCTCAGATCAGCTCTTTCCGTCACATGTCTGCTGACCTCTCCAAGCGCCCTCTCCAGTTGGCCACCCAGCAGACCTTGAGCCTCTATCTGGAAGGTTCTGATGACTCTTCCTGGGCTGGGTGCCCTTCTGTGGCTTGTTACCTGAGAGCCCAGGAGGCGGGAGACCCTTGCCTCTCGAGCTCTTTGATAGCTTCAGGCTGCCCTGTCCAATGAGCCCAGGATCCTTCCCATATAAGTATAAGCAGGAAGTAGTTCAAAGTTCATGCAAGTATTATTGGCAAACTCCAGATTATAGCCAAAGGGAAAATAAGGACCTGGTCTATTGCAGAGAGCAGTTAAAATGCTGAAAAGGAACAGTTTGCAAGTATTGTGACAAGGTGCTTCAAAGGCTCAGGTTTGGGAAATCTATTGCAGTGAAGACTACCCTCTTTTGGGACGCCTGGGTGGCTGTTGGTTAGGTATCTGCCTTCAGCTCAGGTCATGACCCCAGAGTCCTGGGATCAAGTCTCATTTTGGGCTCCTCACCAGCAGGGAGCCTGCCTGTGTCCCCCTCTGCCTACTCCTCCCCCTGCTTGTGCTCTGACAAATGAATACATAAAATCCTAAAAATAAAGACTACCCCCTCTGTTATGATGGTATCTTGGAAGTTCATTGTGAAAACCTGTCACATGGTGCTTTTCATCTTGTCAGAAAATCATCACTAAAACAAAACTTTGCTCTTTGTTTTAGGAATTCCTGTGTGGTTAGAATATTTATTAAGTATAGTGTAAAATAAATTATTTTCAAGGTAAAGCTCTGGTCAACTTTATATATGACAGACTCCAAATTGCTGTCAAACTCTTGTTCGCTGTTTTCCATAGCTACATGTGCGGAGATCCACAGAGCAGACAAGACAGCTTGAGGAGGGAGGGGCAGATTCAAAGCAAACTCAGGACTGAACCCTGGAATTCTCCTAACTTTGGAAGATGGAAAGAGGCAGAGCAGTCTAGCAAAGGGGGTTGAGAAGAGGCCAGTTAAGCAGGAAGAAAGTATTTCACAGAGAGTAATCAATTCTGTCAATATTGCTGAGAATCTAAGTGGAAAAAGAGAACTGACCACTGGACATGGTGAAACTGATTGACAGCACTGATTAATTCTAAGAGGACCTAGGACCAGAGGTCGGCAGTGGACTGAAAAAAAGGGGGGGGATGAAGAGCAAAGGGTATTTTTAAAATGAGAAAGAATGCTGTAGTAAACATTTCTGGCTGTCTGCTAGTATCCCCAAATTGTTTTGTGATGGCCCCCCAAGTTCCATTTGTCTAAAACTTTTCTTTCCCTGACGCTTCCCGCTTTTCTGCTATGATCCTAGTTTCTGTTTTAACTATGATGCTCCCAGCTTATCAAGTTAGGATCTTGCAAGCCTGTTCCTTGCTTAAAACCCTTGGAGTGTCTCCACATTGCTCTCAAAATGAAATCCAAGATCCTATGTAATCTTAACTTTAGGTTACTTCTCCATGTTCTCTTGCACCTTGTGCTCAGCCCCGCAGGCCAACTTTCCTTTCCTTTCTTTTCTGCTTCGGGGCTTCAGGCACACTGCTCCTTTTCCCTACCTGCTCTGCTTAGCTAACACCCTCTCATCCATCTTTCCTCAGATGCCTGAAGTTTGTCTGCCCACCACTACTAGCCCTTTAAAGGAAAAAATATTTTCCTTGAAGAACTGACAGCCCACCTCCAGGCTCAACCAAGCAATATCAGGATCCCTGATGGGTGTGGTCAATGATGAGATTATGACCCATTAAGTCCGTGAGAGCCAATTCTTGGACTTGGGAACTGCTAGGAAACACCAGTTCTTTTCTGGGGGGCACAGAGACGCACACCTGGAGCTCTTGGCCACCATCTTCTCACGATGATGGGAATGGACCCCGAGCAGGAGAGAGCAAGAGTGAGCTGAGGTGTGACAACTTGGAGCCTCATCATCTAGCTGGGCCCACAGCCAGCTCTCACTAGCTGGAGACTTTGCAGTTAAATGCTTCCTAAACTGTACTATGCTAGCTGGAGTTTCCTTGTTATCTGAAAGGAGTTTCAGCTGATCTGTTTCAGGTCTCAGGTTAAATGTCACTTTGTTAACTTTCCCTGGCCCAAAGGTCCTCCTGCATAGTTCTGAGCTCCCTGTTATCCTTCACAATACCTGGTAGAATTTGTTAGAAAATATCTTGTGTTGTTTTAATTTTTTTCTCTACTACTGGACCATAAACTCAGTAAGGGCAAGGATCTTGTTTGCTTTTGTTCATTATGCAGATACTTAGCAACTTAAGCTCTTGAATGATTTCGTGGTAACATCAAACACTAAGATCACACCATGCTAGGCACAGTTCTAAATATATTAACCAATTCTTAGATCAACTCTTATGAAGTAGGTCCTATGGTCCCAACTTTTCGGATGAGTACATTGTGGCTTTAATGACTGACTTAACTTTTCTGTGCCCCATTTCCCACCCCATATCTTGGCCACAGATCTTTTGGACAGCCTAAGATCTCTGGGACGTGTTCCCTCCCCCATTCTCTCTGCCACCATTGCAATTCTCACCTAGATTACTGCAGTACCATCAGACATTCCTTTTTATCCTCAACTCCAGTCAAAACAGTTCTTCAGTGCTTTAGGAACTGTTCCTTTTTCACATTCCTGCCTTTATTCATGCTAGATCTGTATCTGGAGCATAAATCCAACCCAACTTCTCTGAGGAGTTCAACAAGCTCAAATGCCATCTTCAGTAGCAACTGTCTTTGGCATGACCCTTTCCCCTCCACCTTTTATCATGTTTATACTTCCATGACTAGACTGTAAGACTTTCCAAGGAGGACCTGTATCTGGGTCAGATTTATCTGTGTACCACACCAGGCCCATAGTAGCTACTACCAGGGAAGCACTTTCTAAATATATTTTATCCCCTGGTACAGTACTGGAAAGCGAGAGGAGTTAATCAGGAATCCTACAAATTCTGACAGTTCCCAATAGTCATGCTGCAGATTTTGAAAATGCCTCAGGGGGTTTAACTCGTTCACAGTGGAAACTGCTTTAATCTCATTAACTCCTATCTGAAATTTTCTTAGGAGCTGCTTGCCTGGACAGGAAATTCTGACAGCTGAAAGCACAAAACAAGGAAGCACCAAATGCCTTTTTTCTTCTCTGTAAATTGCTCTTCACTGAATATTCACCATCAGGCACACTCAACACTATTTCATCGGCTCCTCCCAACAAGACTTTGTGGCTGGTACTAATGAGAACACCTTTCTATAGTAAATTATGCCTAATATTCCTGGGTTCATTTTTGCTTAGGAAGATTATTTTTTAGTATTAAGTATTAAAATTGCTTTTTAGACATTAGCTTATTTGCTTGGTATAGGGGGGAAGAAAATCCATAAATAAACATACTTCCTTCAAGCTTGTTCCACTGCAGGCTCCCAAGAAATTACAGCTGTTGGTAAAACAACCTGTATGCAAGCAAAAGAATACAACTCGAACACACCTCTTTCGGCAGTTCTGGCCCTCCAACTGGAAGCAGGAACCATATCATTTAAGACACATGTTCTGGTTTGTATAAAAATTGAAACCAGTCCATACTCAAGACAATGCACCTTGGCAGAAATCAGTTACAGAGGATAACTTCCCTAAGCAAACAGTAACCTGGGGGGTGCGGGTGGAAGCCAGGGTGCAGAGTTGAGGATCAATTAAACCGTCAAAGGGGCGCCTGGGTGGCTCAGTGGATTAAAGCCTCTGCCTTAGGCTCAGGTCATGATCCCAGGGTCCTGGGATCAAGCCCCACATCGGGCTCTCTGCTCCGCAGGGAGCCTGCTTCCTCCTCTCTTTCTCTGCCTGCCTCTCTGCCTACTTGTGATCTCTGTCAAATAAATAAATAAAATCTTAAAAAAAAAAAAAAAAAAACCGTCAAAGAACACCACTTTTGGAAATATATTATTTCAACATCTGTTCAGTACCTAGGTTCATGTGACCCACTTGTGACCTGTTAAAGCGGGCTTCAATCTCACCTCTAAATAGGAACTAGTCTTTGCAGCTTGGTTGGGAAGGTTCATTGAGGGGATACACAGTCAAGTTCCTCGTGCCTAGCACAGCACCCCACTAACTGTGATTCTGATGAACTGTTTCAGGGTGTGGCCCTCTTGAAGTCTGAGAAGTACTCAAGTCTGGAATTTGACTGAATAGAAAGAGGCAAGCTGGATTCAGCTCTTTATTGAAGAATAACAGTTTAAGTTTTAGAATTCTAAACCTAAGCTAACAGTGTAATAGCTCCTTCCCCTCACATGCATGTGTGCACTCGCACACACGTGCACACGCCACCATCTCAAACATCACCCGAGCCAGCGATTACTGTGGGTGTAATGGTTCCACAGCCACGTTTTGTAAAATCCAAATATAAATGTAACAGCGAGACTCCCTATTGAAGATCTGGTAAATAACTCAAAACACCAAGTTCACGTATACTATGAGGAAACTCAAAAGATAGGCAAATTATAGGCAACACATGAGCTAGAACACATACTCCAAAGGGAAAATTTCAACTCCAGAAATACCTTCTGAGCAAACAAGGCAGTCAGGATACTAAGCACTGAGCACGGTACTGTCACGGTGACCATTTATTTCTATTTTATATTTGAGGAAACCGCTCAGATACTTACCTATAAGCCATAATTACCAAAGCCAGAGGTAAATAAGGACTAAGTACAAGTCGTCTGATTCTTAGCATTATGGTTAATAATAAATCCATCAGGTAGTCTCTTTAACTGTACTTTTGGTAGAAGACTGAAATCTTTAAAGGAAAAATTCCATGTTGGAACCAGGCAAATAAACCACTTTAAAATTACTGGGAGAATAACCTGGAATTACAGGAGAGCCCTCATTGTAGTTCACGCCATATAAAAAACTGGCTTACAAAGGTCCTGTATTTAGTTCCTGCCTTGTTCTCTGCATAGTAAATCAGTTTCTTCCCCACAAACAGGAAGATAACCATGGTTCCTCTTCTCAAAAAAAAAAAAAAAAAAGGTTTAAATTACTTTTATGACTGACAGAACTCGTCTATCTAGTCTGAATGAATAAAAAAATCTAAGGGTTTGTGGTGAACTTCAGAGAAGAGGCACTAGATCTAGGTTCTGGGCTGGTTCTCTGCCGCCTGGTGATGGGCTTTGCAAAAGGGACATCAATTCCACAGAACCATTACATTTAAAAGGCTGCTTCTGTATGTACAAGATAAAATGACTGGAATTGGACTGAAAATCACTGCTAGCACCTATTTGTTCATTTTGGAATATACGTTTTCCATTTCCTACTGTAACAGACTATGGTAATTTAGGCTCACTACACTCTGGCCACACTCTAGAAACCTCAAGATGCGAATGTAATAGAGCCACAGAAGATTTGGCTCCAGCTTTGACTACTTTATGGCTACTAGCTAGTATTTACTGTTTCTTACAGGTCAAGCCTCTAGAAATATTTAATCGCCACAATCCCATGGGCTGTCCTCTCCATTTTACAAATAAATACCAAGAGATTCAAGTAACTGGTCCAAGGCTGCCAAGCTGCTGGTGCAAAAATGTTCAGCCCAGCTGGTCTTAAGCACGATGCACGCTGACTCTTCAGAGAATGATACAAGCCAATCCCCGGCACTGGTAACCAAGTGTCGATAGCCTCTATTTACTCAACTTCGCCAAATCCCTGGCTCTGCTCCCACGTCTTGGGATTCCTCTTTTGTCCCTCCATTTTCAGACCTTCGAAGTAAACCTTCCCAACTTATCCTAAGTGCTAACCCTTGTTTCCTTTATACTGGTTCGTCTTCAAAATGCCCTATTCTCCCCATTTTTAAAACATAAAAAGCCCTCACCATGGCACCCATTTTCCTCTTTTTACATCACTGTACCTTGTTTTAGGCAGGCCCATCTCTTTGAGCAGACACAGCTTCTTCAACTTGCCTCAGCTCATGCTATTCCAAAATGCCACCTCATCCTTGTTCTAACTGCAGGCAACAGTCCAGGCCACAAACTCGCCCTCTAATTCATCCCGAGGCTTTCTCAGTCGGCCCCATTTGGGCTTAAACATACCACCCATTACTCAGCATAAACCCCAAATACTACATTAAACCCTGTTCCCGTGCCTTCATGAACTTTCACACTCTGGTTGATTGCACACATATATTTAACAATACAGTTTTACAAAGGATGCTAAGAGCACTTTTCTTTGTATTCTATGGAAGGACCAGAAACATATAGACTTTCTATTAATATCCATAGCATAGCACAGCCAAATCTAATTCCTAAATAGACGCATTACAATTTGTTTAGACTTTAAAGGCTTAATGGCAATGATGAGGGGAGGAAAAAGAATTTATTTTACATAACTGAATGAAAAATAATTCAAGAAATAGTAAATAAAATTTAATATGGTCTCATGCGCCCTGAAGGTGGTGGTGCCCGATTTGGAGGTGTGATTGCTATGTCCAGATAGTCTCCTATTTGGAACTTCTGCGACTGCAGGGTCATCGAGTCATCAGTCCCCTTCCTCCCAGACATGGTGCTGCCAATCTCCTTTACTCTGCAGAAAAGGAGACCCAACTGTTAATGGATCACAAGTCAATGAAACTAAATATGCACTGCAAAGTAAACATGGGACTGGATTTGCTCCTTATCTTATAGCACAATTAAAATTAATTACTGCATTAAGCTAAACCAGAGTAATAGAATTTATATCCCCCCCCAAACCAAAGACTTATTAAAAGGTGAGGGGTTATCCCTATCTATTAACCAAAGAGATTATAGGAATTAAAAATTAAAAATTACCTACCGATAGCCAGGCCTTTTAGGATCTGTAAAAACAATTGCAAAATTGAAGTGTGTGCCCTTCTTTCTAGCTTCTGGGTAGACTTCTTTTACTAAACTAGTCAGTTCTTTCAAAGTTGCATCCATCCTGAATTTTTAAAAGAAAACATTATATTTGATTAATCAATAATATAAGAATATAACAAGAATATTGATATACAATGAGTTAATTATGTGTGAATTGTGACCTGTTAGAATTACAGCTGTCAAGGTCTTATACTTTAATTTTATTTTTTAAGAGTTTATTTTTAAGTAATCTGACACATAACATGAGGCTCATACCACAACAGTGAGATCGAGTCACATGCTCTACTTGAGCCAGCCAGGTGCCCCATGCTTGATTTTAAAGCAGCTAATAATCCTATCTGCCCCCATAAACTCCCCTTACCAGCCCCAATGATCGAAATGTTAATACATTAAAGTCAGACTATTAGTGCTAAAAGGGAATGCAAGCTGGTGCAGCCACTATGGAAAACAGTATGAACATTTCTCAAAAAGTTGAAAATAGAGCTACCCTTGACCAACAAGTGCCCTGTTAACCACAAAGATACAAATGTAGTGATCCAAAGAGGCACCTGCACCCCAATGTTTTTTGGTTTTTTTCCTAAAAATTTATTTGACACAGAGAGATCACAAGTAGGCAGGGAGGCAGCTAGAGACAGGGGGAAGCAGGCTCCCTGCTGAGCACACAGCCCAATATGGAGCTCTATCCCAAGACCCTGAGATCATGACCTGAGCCAAAGGCAGAGGCTTAACCCACTGAGCCACCCAGGCACCCCGCACCCCAATGTTTACAGCAATAAGGACCACAACAGCCAAACTATGGAAAGAGCCCAGATGTCCATCGACAGATGAATGGATAAAAGATCATGTGGTATATATACACAGCCATCAAAAGGGGGAAATCTTGCTATGTGTAATGACGTGGACGGAACTAGAGGGTATTATGCTAAGCAAAATATGTCAGAGAAAGACAATTATCATATGATCTCACAGATATGTGGAATTTAAGAAACAAGATCATAGGGGAAGAGAGAAAAAAAATGAAACAAGATGAAACCAGAGAGAGAGACAAACCATAAGAGACTCTTAATCTCAGGAAAGGTTGCTTGAGTGTAGGGGGCTGGGACGGGGCTGCTGGGTGATGGTCACTGGGGAGGGGAATGTATTGTGGTGAGTCCTGTGTGTTGTGTAAGACTGATGGAATCACAGACCTGTACCCTGAAACAAATACATTATATGTTAATAATAAAAAAAGAAAAAGAAAAAAATAAATATACCTATCCAAAAAAAAGGGGGGGGCACTTCAGGGATTATATTTGCTATCTTTTGTTGCTATATAACATCTTACTGGCATAGTGATTTACTTGTTTAAGAGTAACTACTCCAAAGTAATCCAATTAAAATAATTATATTTCCTTATCTCTAAAGCATGTACTTTTCCACATTTCATGTCTAAAGTTGGAATGCATCTTAGAATCAATGACAGGAAAGCATTTTCATTAAGATGTAGTATTTCTTCTTTCTAAGATGGAATCTTAAGAGTTTTACAGTAGATAGAGCCATAAAGCCAATGAAACATGAAATTTTCTTTAGGACTAAGCATAGTTTCCTTTCACAGTACATATTCTTGCCCTGCAAATATTTATTTGAACTCAGAACTTAAAACAGTCCTCTGAGCTAATATGACACAACCTGAAAAAAATCTTTCTAAATATGAGCATCTTGGAAAAAGTTAAACTATAACAGTATAAATTTTTATAGTTTTCTTTCATGACAACTAAAAGAATGAAATGGATGATGTGAAACTGAAACAATTTTGCCTATAGGGGGCCACAAAATGAAAACAAGGGACACTAGATACGCTCCAAGAGTGTTCTCCCCAAAACATGCCCTGGCTCTCTCGTAATACCATCAAAACTACCATCACTGGGGCGTCTGAATGGCTCAGTTCGTTGAGCATCTGACTCTTGACCTCAACTAGGGTCTTGAGTTCAAGCCCCATGTTGGGTTCCACAATGGGTGTGGAGCCTACTTAAAGAAAAATAACAGAAAAACCTCTATTATCACTCACATCATTGCTCAGGCCATAAACCTAAAAGTTTTTCCCATTTCCATCCCGTTATTTCTACCTCCTAAATACAGAGTATATCATTTTCTCCATTTTTCACCATCACAGATTTCTATACCTCATTATTTAACTGCCTTTGATTCATCTCCATCTCAGTTCTTTAAAGTTTCTGTGTAAAGCTGTTGTCACACGAGTGACACCTGTTACCACCGCCCGGGGAGGAGACCAACCACCTGGAGGATAGCAAAGAGCCCAAAAATGCCTTCCACCAGGAGCAGCAACCCCAGAGTATCAACCTACTGCATTAGCTTGCAGGTGGTGGGGTTGCCAAGACAGACACAACTCAGAGACAACAGAGGGAACAATGCTTTACTTGCACTGAGAAAAGACAGCAGAAGATATGCTTCATGAAGTGTGGGTTCCCCATGGCCAGCAGGTCTCCCCCTGTAGCTGTTGCCCAGACAGTCTGCATGTACCCTTCTTGTGCTGCAGGTAAAGACCCCTGAGAACAGATACTGCAGGTCAGGTCCCACACAATGGCACACAGGCAGAACAAAGAACATATCAAACCCAGAATAGGGAAAGATACTCCCAAAGACATTTACCCAGCACAATTGTGAGAGCTCTTTAACTCTTTGCAAAAAACAAAACAAAACAAAACAAAACAAAAAAAACAGGGGTGCCTGGGTGGCTCAGGGGACTGAGCCATCGGCTCAGGTCATGATCTCAGGGTCCTGGGATTGAGTCCCGCATCGGGCTCTCTGCTCAGCAGGGAGCCTGCTTCCCACCCGCCTCTCTCTCTGCCTGCCTCTCTACCTACTTATGATCTCTATCAAATAAATAAATAAAATCTTTGAAAACAAAAACAAAAACAAAAAGCCAAATGAAAAAACCCTTCTGGGTCCCAGGTCACTCTTATGTGGCCATGCAAGGAAGGGGTGAGAAGCTGTGCATGACTGCCTTTCTCCACTTGACAGATCTTCATGTTACTTAAAGAGGTGGGAAAGCCATATGCAAAAAGGCAGTAAATTATATCCCAAATTTCACCAACCAGAAATAACCAGTGATATTTAACATCACTTGTAGGCATCTTTTTTTACATATACACAATGCTACAGAAAAAAAATCTTAAGATTATCAAGCATATTATACATACTAAGATTATAATTGTAATTATTAATAATGAATAATGCAATTATTAATAAGGTAATTATTTTATATAAGTGTAATTCATGCTTCAAATATTACATGTATTTTTAATAAAACTCACATTTACTTGAGTTTAACAGAATAAAAAACAAATTGAAGGAATTATAAAATTTTAATAAAGATTCAGTTACCCCTATCACCACCTAATTTTGTAACTTCTTATTTACTCTGTCAGAGTTCTACTCTGTTCTGCAACAATTCCCCGGGCTACTTTAACTCTGTCCCCATGAAGTCTGAGGCAAGACGGATTTTTTTTAAACCCGATCTTCTGATGCTAATTACTCTGCATCAGCTATTCCCTGGTACACCTTACATGATATGTACAAGAAAGGGTCCTTTCTTCCTTTCTAAAAACACTTCCCATATTGTCATCTTGTTCCTAGTGAACATGCGGAATTTGGTTTACATCTGTTATCAGTTCTGACAGTGAATCTCCTATAAGCTTCCAACCTAACAACCACCTCCCTAGACCAGTAGTTGGAAGTGCCAAGTATTGCCTTCTGACCACTGGTCCAAAGCTTGAGTACACAATGAGGAATGCAAGAGCTCTCTTGGGGCTGAAGTCTTTGTGTTGCCAATGTGAGACTCAGTTTTGTGTCAGTTTGGCAAAGCTACAACTTCAGTTATTCAATCACAATAATAAAGGTGTTACTAGATGATATTTTGTGTATATGGTCAAAGTCTATAACCAGTTGGCTTTAAATTTAAATTACCCCAGTTAATCTGAGTAAGCCTCACTCAATCACTCAGAGTAGGCCTGATTCTATTAGTTGAAAAGGGCTTACGAGAGCAGAGGCTTCCCTGCAGAAGAAATTCAAGCTGCTATGGGGAGCCTTAGCTCTTGCTTAAGAGTTCCTGCCTGATGGGGCGCCTGGGTGGCTCAGTGGGTTAAAGCCTCTGCCTTTGGCTCAGGTCATGGTCTCAGGTCCTGGGATCGAGCCCCGCGTCGGGCTCTCTGCTCAGCAGGGAGCCTGCTTCCTCCTTTCTCTCTGCCTGCCTCTCTGCCTGCTTGTGATCTCTGTCAAATAAATAGATAAAAAAATCTTTGGGGGAAAAAAAAAAAAAAAGAGTTCCCACCTGGAGGTGTCTGGGTGGCTCAGCCGTTAAGCATCTGTGTTAACCTCTGCCTTCGGCTTGGGTCATGATCCCAAGGTCCTGGGATCAAGCCCTGCATCAAGCTCCCTGCTCAGCAGTAAGCCTGTCTCTCCCTCTTACACTCCCCTTGCTTGTGTTCCCTGCGTCTCTGTCAACTAAATAAAATCTTAAAAAAAAAAAAAAAAGTTGCTGTCTGGCCCTTCCTTAGAGCTCACCTCACAGATTGGGAACTTAAGAGTTATCTAGGTAGCCCTCGGAATCATGTAAGCCAATTCTGTGCAATAAATCACTTCATAGAGATCTCCTACTGGTTCCATTTTTCAATCTGAACACTGATAGAGCTACCTAGGTAATTCTCTTTCTATATAACATGTTTAATGACCACCCAAGCACAGGAGATTGACCACTCCTGTGGTGTCTGGCTTGTTCCCCTTGAACTTTGGCAACCTCAACTTGCTTCTGTTAGGCTCCTCTGGACTTCATTCCTTTTTCTCTGACTTATCTTAGGACTGCCTATTTAGTCCCTCAGTCTACTTCTACAAACAGAGAATTCCCAAGATTTGTTGACTAATCTTCCTTCAGTACTCCTTCTGGAAAAGGGGGCAGGGCTCTGTGCTGTCACACCAACCACTCAATCTTTTAGAATCTTTGTCTTTGGCCATCATTTTGAGGTATAACATAAGGTTGCCTTTCCTTATTTGGTTGCAGTTTAGGGATAGGGCAATTTAGGGCAGAATTTTTCTGCATTTTTTTTTTCTGGCTTAGGAATAGAGGACCTCTAGAACAATCTCACTCTGCCATCTTCACCCTAAAGTTTTACCTAATTATTATTTATTCATCTGCTTTCTCTGTTAGACTCAGCTTACTACAGGGAGGGGCAGTACCTTCTTTCCTTCATACCATCAGAATCTAAGCACCGCACCTAGCAAATAGAACTCTTACTGCTGGAAGAAGTATACACTTTAATCTCCAAACAGAAGTTTTCATCAATACATTAGTAACAGTTCTTCCTCGTAAGTTAAATCAAACTTTCTGGAACTTTATCCTGGAATGATGCTGAACTAAAATCATACTACATAAATTTAACAAGTACCTACAAAAGACAAATAGGGTCCCAATCTTTAAAAGAATCAAGTTTTACTATGCTGGGCTCACAGTTTAAAATTATACACCTTTCTGGGGCTGTAAAATGGTGCAGCTCCTGTGAAAAGCAGTTTGGCAGTTCCTCAGAAAGTTAAACATATAATAACGGTATGATCCAGCAATCCCATTTCTAGGTCTATACCCAAAATAACTGAAATCAAGGACTCAAAACAGATACTTGTATACCCAGTTCATAGCAGCGTTATTCACAAAGCCAAAAAATGGAAACTCAGGTACCTATCAACAAAAAAGTGGATAGACAAAATGTGGTACGTTGATACACACTGAATATTCATCCATAAAAAAGAATGAAGTTCTGTTACAAGCTACAACATGGATGAACCCTGTAAATATTATACTAAGTGAAATAAGCCAGACACAACAAATATTGTATGAGTCCACTACACAAGTGGACACAAATATCTAGAACAGGCAAATTCATATAGATATAAACTAGATTAGAGTCTAACAGGGGAAAGAAAGGAATGGGGAGTTATTGCTTATTGGGTACAAAACTTCTGCCAGGGGGTAAAAGAAAAAGTTTTGGTAATGGGTAATGGTTACACAAATGTGAATGTAATTCTACCACAAAACATATTTTTAAACCTTATTAACCTTTTACTGCTACTAACAGCTATTATGATGTCAAACTCAGGAAATATATGCAGCTCTAAAGATACGCTTGTAATATGTAATGGCCCTAGACAGACTTGGGGGTATAGAAGGTACAGGTAAGATATAAACTTTAAGGGGCAGGTCTTCAGGAAACACACCAAAAGCTTTTCCATTAAGCACCAGATCAGAAATCAATTGGTTTTTTTATTTTTTAATGCACCTAAGGCTTAATATTACATAGAAATGCTCTTGAAGATAAATATCCCATGACTCCTCCTTACCATGTTATTCCAGTACCACTTATTTATGAGCCCCTTAATGGCAGCTACTGCATTTTATTTATCTACATATTATATTTGTACCAAGCAGCCACAACAGTGATAGCAATCTTGGGTGTGTCATTTCTTCACAACCCAAAACTTTGAACATTAAACCTAACAGTATTACCAGATGGCGTGAATCCCCTTTTACCTAACAGCTAAAATCTCTAACTTCCCGAGAGCTGGGCCCAAAGACCCCGAGTGACAGAAAGCAAAGTCGAGAGGATATTTCTTCACTGGCACAGGGAATTATTTAATGTTACTGCCGGACCCTCCCAACCCCCAACGGCCGCGCCCCCGCGCCCCCCACCACCCCCGCGCCCTCACCAGGTGTAGATCTGCAGCTCGCTGGACGGTACATTTCCGCGGGAAAACTCGTCCATTCGGTGGTGGCGGCCGTTATTGGTGGTGAAAACACGCAGCAGCAGCGGGCACGTCTGAGAGCGAGAGGAGGAAAAGCAAGGGCAGAAGTTAAAGAAAACGACTGTGAGTCCGGAGCTCCCTTTCCCTCCGGAGATGCCGGGGCCTCCGAACTGCCCGGGGAGCAAAACACCGCCGCCTTCCGCACACAGGCCTCGCTCTCCGCCCCGCCGGGCCCACCTCCACCTCTTTCCGGACCCCATACTTTCTCCCGATCGATCGGTTTCTCCGGTTCCTTCTTAATTTCCTCCTGGGTAACGCGCGACTCCACCGCCATCTTCCTCCTACGGCCCGCGAGACGCTCGGTCTGACCTCCGACCCCTGCAGCGAGCATGAGAACGAACTCTCTCGCGAGGAGAAACTCGAGGCTTTATAGAAGACCGGGGGAAGAGGGGAGGGGCATTCGCTGGCGCAGGCGCAGTTCATTGTGCGGCGCCTGTGCCCGGGCCCGGCCGCGCTTGCGGTTTGCGTGCTCAGAAAAAGGCGGGCGTTGGCGTCCGCGGGGCGGAGCTTCTAAGGGATATTCCCCTTGGTGGGTGTTTGGTGGTCTGGGAAATCATGGAGATGAGCCCAAGGCACACGAGCTTGCGGAGGCATTTTTCCTACGCAATGAATAAGTTAACCACTCTTAAGAGTGGTACAGGAGGTAAGTGAGTAAGCAAAAGCATGACTTTATTAGCAAAGTATCCTTTTTATAAAGGAAAAACAAGCTCTGAAATGGAGCCTTGTATGTGGACCCCTGAGTGAAGACAGAAGACGCTCTGCAAAGCTGAGGGGAAGACAAAATGCCCTGCAGTAAGTGCTCATAAAATAATTAGTGATCTGTACTGGGGAAAAGTGAATTGGTCTCTTCCCGCACCACAGTGGAGCAAAGCCGAAATGTGAACAGCAAAACTAGAACTTTGTGGATGTAACATCATAAACTATCTTCATGATCAATGGATTGGAGCACCAAGAAAAAAGATCAATAGATAAAAAGCAAATCCCAAGATTAAATAAATAAAGGAACACATGCTATAAAAAGCACTAACCAGGAAAGATTGATAAATTTGACTAGATTTAAATTGAAAACACACACACACACACACACACACACACACACACACACACGAAACCTGACCTTCAAAATACACCTTAGGGAAAGAAAGACAAAAACCACAGAGTGGAAAAAAAAAATCTACGATGCATGTGATTGACGAAAGCTAGTGTCCAGAATATATATGGAAGATGACAGACATCCCAATAGAAAATGGGTAAAATAATTGAATAAGTGCTTCTAAAATGAAAAAATCCAAATGACCAATAAACATATAAGGTGCCCAAACTCATTACCAACCAGGGAATGCATTAAAGCCATAGTGATTGGCTTTAATTGATTGGTTTGTAACACACTATACTCACTAGCTTGGCAAAAATTAGAAACTGACAACATTTGTTGGTAGACTAATGAGAATTTTCTAATACTTGTGGTGAATGCAGAAACTGGTATACCCACTTTGGAAAGTAGTTTAGGATTATTTAATAAAGTTGAAGATATGTATACATTAGATCCAATAATCTCACTGCTTGGTATATACCCTAGAGATAGGAGATCTTGATCAAGGGTATCCAGAGACATTATAAGAATGTTCTTGGCCATTTTGTAAGAACAAAAAGCTCAAAACAACCCCAATTCCATCATGAAGACAATAATTCCAAGAATTGTGTTGTACTATACAGAAACAAACTATACCAAACAGCAATGGAATACTATATAGCAACAAAAATGAACAAACTATAGCTACATGAAACTACAACTATGTGAAACAGCATGAATTGACTCTGTGAATCCATTTTTGTAATGTTCAAAAGCAGGCAATACTAAACTATACTGTTCAGGAGACATTCCCAGGTGATAAGTCTATAAAAAGAAAAGTAATGAAGTAATTGCCACAAAAGTCAGAATGGTAATTACCTCTGAGAAAAGATGGTGATGAAGTTGGGGGAACGCAAAGGAGGTGTTGCTGGAGTGTTGGCAACATTCTTTTACCTCTGTGGTGGTTGCAGAGTTTTTATTTTAAATCATTCATTAAGCAATGTGTTTATGTTTTACACTCTCTGTATGAAAGCTGTATCTTGCTATTAAAAAAAAGCCCCCCTCAAGAATGCCTATCAATTGATAAAAAACATACAATCCAATAGAAAAGTGAGCACAAGTTGTGATAGGTATTTCATAGAAGAAAAAACGCAAATTACATATAACCATATAAACATGAAAAGATGCCCAATCTCATGAATAATCATAGAAATGCACATTTAATCCACAACAAGGTAACATTTCACTCAGATTGGTCAAAATGTACCTAACAAGTATGGGCAAGGATATGGAGAAAATGGAATTGCCATAGATCGCTCGCATCCACTGTAGAAACATTGGTGTTATCTAGAGAGACTGGATGTGTGCACACCTTAGGACCCAGCTATTCCACTCATATTTGAACACCCAGAGAAACTGTTACACATGAGCCCCAGGCAACAGGTTCAAACACTTATTCTTAATAACTAGAAAAAGCTGAATGTCTACCAAGAATATATTCATAAAATGAAATTCCATAAAGATTTGAAAATATGAATCAATATGCTTTTTTAAAAGGTAGACTAAAAGACTAAAAAGTCACAGAACAATACGTACAATAGGATTCAATTTATGGGAAAGTTAAAAAATAGGAATTTTCTCTCTCTCTTCCCCCAAATACTGTTTAGGGAAACAAACACTAAGTGGTAAAGCTATAGAGAAACAAGGCAATGATTAACACTATATTCAGGATAGTGTTACCTCTGACAGTAAGCTAGGGCAATGCAATTTATTAAGTGCATCCAGGGAGCTTCTAGGACTAATAAATACTCTTTCTCACTAGAGGAGGTGTGGTTTTTCACTGGCTACATTGTAGCTACACATTATAAATACTGGTGTGTATGATTTAGATCTCTGTTAAAAAAGATTTTTTTTAACTGCTTAGAAATGGGTCTTTGTATGTAGATAATATTCAGCTTTTTAAAAAGGTACTTAAATTTCTTCTCCAGTTCTATGATTCTATCTTTTAAATTAAATTTTATTTTTTTATTTAAGTTTTTCTTCTAATTCCAGTTGACATACAATGAAATACTAGTTTCAGGTGTACAATATAGTGATTCAACACTTTCATTCATCACCCTGTGCTCATCACAAGTGCATGCCTTACTCCTCATCACCTATTTCTCCCATTCCCCCACCCTCTATGATTCTAATACCAAATCTTTTTCAAAACTTTCATAGCACAAAAATACAGACACATGAGGGCACTCTAACCAATCAGTTAAAGGGACAACGTTGAAACTGGGAAAATGAAGAACTTCACAGTGTGTTATTGCTATTATTGGGGAGGTTTTGTTTCTTACACATAAGCTGTCCTTTGGAGCTTTACAAATGACAAGCCTTCATCAAAACAGAGTTTTCCAATACCCTGAGGCAGTGGAACTGCAGGTATAGTTAAGGTAGATCTTCAGCATCCCTCAGTCCATGTACTTGGGCTTCTAGGTCCAGCCCTGAACACAAATTGTAATATTTAAGTATATGCATCCTTTAGAATTTACACACATGAATATTACACTTCTAGGTATATTCCCCAGAGAATTGAAAGCAGGGACTCCAACAGGTATTTGAACACCAATGTTCATATCGGCATTAGTCATAGTAGTCAAAAAGTGAAAACTACCAACTGTCTCTCAACTAGTGAATTGATATACCTACAATGAAATATTATTCAGACTTAAAAAATAATGAAGTACCGATACACGCCAACAAGGACAAACCTTGAAAATATTCTGCCAAATGGAATAAGCCAGACACAACAGAGCAAACATTGTATGATTCCACTTATATGAGGCACTTATAATAGGCAAATTCAGAGAGACAGAAAGTAGAAAAGAGGTTACCTGGGGCGGGGGGTGGGGGGGTGCTGGGTAGTTCAGTGGGTTAAACCTCTGCCTTCAGCTCAGGTCATGGTCTCAGGGTCCTGGGATCGAGCCCTGCATCCCTGCATCAGGCTCTCTGCTCGGCAGGAAGACTACTTCTCCCTCTCTCTCTGCCTGTCTCTCTGCCTACTTGCAATCTCTCTCTCTCTCTCTCTCTGTTAAATAAATAAATAAATTCTTAAAAAAAAAAATAAAAGAGGTTACCTGGGCCTGGGGACAGAGAAAGGAATGCGGAATTATTGTTTCATGATACGGAGTTCCTATCTGTGCCAATGAAAAAATTCTGGAGATGAACAATGGCAATGATTGCACAAATTGTGAATATACTTAATGTCCCTGAATTTTAAACCTAAGAATGGTTGAAATGATAAATTTCATGTTATATATATTTTACCACAATAAATGTTTTTATTTATTTTTATTTTTTATTTTTCAAAGATTTTATTTATTTATTTGACAGAGAGAGAGAGAGAGAGATCACAAGCAGGCAGAGCAGCAGGCAGAAAGGGGTGGGGAGCAGACTCCCCGCTGAGCAGAAAGCCTGATGTGGGGCTCTATCCCAGAACCCTGAGATCATGACCTGAGCTGAAGACAGAGGCTTAACCCACTGAACCAACCAGGCGCCCCTATTTTTTATTTTTTAAAGATATTTTAAATTTATTTATTAGAAAGAGAGAACAAGAGAGAACACAAGTGGGGAGCAGGGAGGGGAAGAAGCAGGCTCCCTGCTGAGCAGGGAACCTGATGTGGGGCTGGATCCCAGGATCCTGGGATCATGACCTGTGCTGAAGACAGAGGCTTAACCAACTGAGCCACCCAAGTGCCCCCACAATAAACATTTTTAAAATGAATGAACATTTGAAGTATGTGAACTCTGAAAATATCTCATCAAACTTTCTCTACCTGTGATTTTCTCTCTCTTTAAGATGTTCTGGCATTCTGAATCATTTGAATCATTTGAATCTCTGGCATTTTGAATTGGGGAAAGTAGATTGCCCTAATTAAAAAATCAGAAATACGTAATGTGCAGTTTTACAGAATATGCCTCAGTCAGTCACTACAAGTGGATTTTTTTTTTCTGCTGAGGTTCAGAAGCACAGCTTTCTCATGGCAAGAAAACATATTCATAAACATGTACAAACTGTGTTTCTGGAAAAGGTTTAATAGAATGTATTTTTTGTAGAATTTTTGCTTCCTTTTACAAAAGTTGTGGGTTGTAAAGTTGGGTATTTTGGGAGGTTTTTAAACCTTTTCAAATTCTTTCAGATGTATCTGTGGGAGACTAGGTGTACAGCATTTATAGGCACAATATTTATGGGTTCTTTTTTCAGAAAGAAGTATA